CCTGAGGAGGAGGAGTCCCCAGCAGCTGCACAGGAGGTGCAGTCACAAGGAAAGACCCATCCTGTGCCTGGCCCAGCACCCTCTGGTGGAGACACCCCGAGGCCAGACTCCCCGCCTAGTTCTCCTGAGTGCCCCAGATGTAGGGCACGCCAAAGGCTGACTATGCAGGAGTGAAGAAGGAGTGCTAGACTGCGGCTCCTGCAAAGGCAACGGGCGGAGCGGTAAGCCTTGGCAGGCTCAACTCCCAGGGAAGGGAGGACCTGTTCAAAAACACTCCACGCACCTGCTTCAGTGTGGTAGTAACTCTGCATACTCTGCTTCTGTGTGTGTAGCAACCACTCCTTGTTCTTGAATCCTGCAACCTTTGGATTGACTTCCCGGCTATCCGACCTTTGGCTCTTTTGTTTACCCTGAGCCAGTTTGGTGTAGTGGTTAAGAGCGTGGACTCTAATCTGGGAGAACTGGGTTTGATTCCCCACTCCTCCACTTGCACCTGGATATTAGGGGAAACGTTTTAACTGTCAGAGTGGTTCAAATGTGGAATCAGCTGCCTAGGGAGGTGGTGAGCTCCCCTTCAGTGGCAGCTTGCAAGAAGAAGCTGGACGAATATTTGTCAGGGATGCTTGAGGCTGGCCCAACTCTGTGATTCTAAGTATTGCATAAAGGGAAAATGCAGTCAAATTGCTTATTACAAGATTGTGTGGATAAGTCCTCAGCTGTGCCACTGGAAGCTCTAAACTACACATTATATGTGATTTCCTTGAGGACTTGAGGCCACACAACACCTGTGAGTTCCTTTGTGCGAACTCAACTCCTCATGCTTATTGTTTGTTTCAATGATTTTAGCAATCCAGTCTTCAAATTCTCTTTTCACATTCCTATTTCACATTCCTAATTATTAACTTCTTTTGCCAGATCCAGTGGCCGCTTCTGTTCCCTTCACTGGGGCAGACCTCCCACTTTTAAAAAAGAAATGTTTTATGGCTTCTTTGACTTGGGTCATTAACCATGCAGGCATCCTTTTAGACTTGGTAGTACCTTTCGTAACTTGAGGAATGCGTTCTGTCTGGACTTCAATTAGTGTTGCTTCAAATAGCCGTGTTTCTCTTTAATCTCTCTTCTAACTAATTCCCTCATTTTTTGTCAAGTTCCCTCTCGTGTAATCAAATAGTACTGTTTTGGATTTTAGGGGTCACTTTCCATGATATGAATGCTGTACTTAATAGCACTGTGTTCACTGCTCCCAACTGGGGCCTACCTCTTGCATCAGGTCTTTAACCCCACTCAGAACCAAGTCCAAGATCACTTCCTCTCTGATTGGCTCTGTGACCCACTGCGCAGTCATTTATGATATATCAGAATCTCATTTCTGTGGCATGACAAGCACATGTACACCCAGTCAATGTGAGGGCAGTTGAAGTCACCCAGTCTCCCAACATTGCCTTATTTCCTTCTCCATTTTGAGAGCAGCTTCAAGGGTTTGATCAGATGGACGAGAGTACATCTCACTTTTAAGTAACCTTTGGGCCCAGTATTTCCTCCCATATTGCTTCTGTTGGGGGTTCATTCTCCTAATGCATTATTTGAATCTATGCCCTCTTTGATATAAAATGCAACACCTCCTCCAACACATCCCTCCCTGTCCTCCATATAGAGCTTATACCCAGGGATGACCATATCGCATTGATTTTCACTATTCCACCATGTTTCTGAAACACTCAGGAGTAATAGTCATTTAGCACGAAACACTCCCGCTCCCCCATCTTGGCTCAGAGGTTAACATTTACCTCTGCTATGGGGATGGACAACAAAAGTCCGCATGGTCAAAGCAATGGTATTCCCAGTAGTCATGTATGGCTGCGAGAGTTGGACTATAAGGAAGGCCGAGCGCCGAAGAATAGATTCTTTTGAACTATGGTGCTGGAGAAGACTCTTGAGAGTCCCTTGGACTGCAAGAAGAACAAATCAGTCAATCCTAAAAGAAATCAACCCTGACTGTTCCCTGGAAGGCCAGATAATGAAACTGAAGCTCACATACTTTGGCCACCCAATGAGAAGGGAGCACTCACTGGAGAAGACCCTGATGCTGGGAAAGATTGAAGGCCAAAGAAGACGGGGACGGCAAAGGATGAGATGGTTAGACAGTGTCTTCGATGCAATGAACATGAAATTGAGCCAACTTCAGAGGACGGCGGAAGACAGGAGGGCCTGGCGGGAGCTGGTCCATGGGGTCGCGAAGAGTCGGACTCGACTGTGCGACTGAACAACAACAATGGGGATGGACATTGTGGTGTTGTGATAAGAAGTATTGTGCTGCATTGACCCATGGAGAATCACAGTGACAATTCTCTCTTCGGTTGATTGCTCAGTAGTGCAGGAAGGGTCACTAACACTGCATATAGATGCATACATCAAGAGGTGAGCCTGTTGTGGATATGAAGACAGGTTAAAACGCTTGGGGCTCTTTAGCTTGGAGAAATGATGGCTGAGGGGGTGACATGATTGAGGTTTCTAAGATTATGCATGGGATAGAGCAGGTAGAGAAAGACTTGCAAATGGATTGCTAGGAATCTGAGGTTGGAGGACTATGCAGGGTGAAGAACAAATGCACTTTCACTTCTGAGCATGGGGGGGGGTGACTGTTTTCTTAGTCTTTCTGTCTGAGCTCTCCTTCGCTGTATGACTCTCAGACAGTTGCACTTGTGAAGCTGTTGTGGGTACTGGCTCTGCTGAGGCTGACTATCAAGAAGAAGAAGAGGAGGAGGAGGAGGAGGAGGAGGAGATTGGATATATACCCCGCCCTTCACTACCTAAAGGAGTCTCAGAGCGGCTTACAAACTCCTTTCCCTTCTCCTCCCCACCACAGACACCCTGTGAGGCAGGTGGGGCTGAGAGAACTCTGACAGAAACTGCTCTTTTTCAAGGACAGCTCTTATCAGAACTACAGCTTGCTCAAGGTCATCCAGCCAGGTGCAAGTGGAGGAGTGGGGAATCAAACCCGGTTCTCACAGATTAGAGTCTGCGCACTTCACCACAACACCAAACTGGCTCTCTAATTGAAATCAAGACACCTGAAAACAGGCCAAACAGCCGATCAAAAAAAATGGACCGCTTTCTGCACACAATCAGGAAGTACATGGAATTTTACAAGTGATGCTCTGTCTTCTTGGTGCTTGGGGGGGGGGTCAACAGTGGGAGGGGCTTCTAGTGTCCTGGCCCCACTGCTGGACCTCCTGATGGCACCTGGTATTTTTGGCCCCTGTGTGACAGAGTGTTGGACTGGATGGGCCATTGGCCTGATCCAACATTGGCCTCTTATGTTCTTATGTACAGACTTCTAAACCAAATAAAGCTTTGGAGCAGGGTTGTCCCCTCTGCCTTTTGCCCAAGCCAACGGTGCCTATTGGATGGCCCTTGTGCCATTCAATAACCAGCCTCTCTCCCTAATCAGAACGCCACCTCCCCTCCCCAAATTTAAGTTAAAAATTAAAAACGGAGTGGATTTTTAAAATGTGCTAAATAAGGGTTTAACTGGATGAGCATTCCAGCTGTCTAGAAAAAAGAAAAAGAAAAAATGGTTTAGAAAAACCACAAAAGCATGGGATTAAGGATGAAAGTTCATGCCATAGGCAAAGCTACAGATGTGTGCCTGTAGAAGAACAGAGGTGGGGGAAGCAGATCTCGCTGCATAATTCCACACCCATTCCTGTTGATTGACATTTCTGTATGGAACCTGAGAATTCCTTTCTGGGGAAAAGAAATGTGCATAGCAGATTAACTGTGTTATCTTATCCTTTATGTAATATGTGTAAAGTACCTAATAAAACCACGAGAGAGAAAGGCAAGTAAGAGCCTGAAGCGGTATTGTCTGTGTGACTGGATAGTTAAGAACTAGGTGAGTCTGTGATAAGATTCCAAGATTTTGATCCTTGCTATAACTATAAATCGGTCCTAGTGAAACTTTGGCGGCTGTGTCGTGTGAATGGGAGTATAATTATTTTTTCTCTCCAGATTATTCATATTTCTCTGGTTTTATAGATTGTTCTCATAAGTAAGATTAGGCTGTGATGAAGGTTAGATTGATTTTGTAGCCAATGCTAGCAGACAAGAAAACAACATTCTTTTGGTATAGGAGATAGAGTTCATGGTTTTTAGTCGTTTAGGGTAAAACTTTGCAGTGTCTGGGTCAAAAGGGATTTTAGCTTCGTATCAGGAAAAAAAACACCTTTGTTTGGGTATGAAGAATCCTTGGCCAATATTATTCGGGTTAGGTTAAGTAAACACGTAAGACATGCTGTAGGCACACCTTTCTTCATCTCTGACCAATGAGTGGACTATTATTCAAATATCGCACTGTCCTTTGTAACCAATTATGCTTTTTTAATGTTATCTTTATGACTGTGTCATTTCAAGTATAAAATTCCACGTACTTCCTGTTTGTGTGCAGAAAGCGGTCCATTTTTTTTTGATCGGCTGTTTGGCCTAACTGTTTTCAGGTGTCTTGATTGCAATTAGAGAGCCAGTTTGGCGTCGTGGTTAAGTGCGCGGACTCTACTCTGGGAGAACCAGGTTCGATTCCCCACTCCTCCACTTGCACCTGGCTGGATGACCTTGGGCAAGCCGTAGCTCTGATAAGAGCGGTCCTTGAAAAAGGGCAGTTTCTGTCAGAGCTGTTCTTGAAACAAGAGCAGTTTCTGTCAGAGCTCTCTCAGCCCCACCTGCCTCACAGGGTGTCTGTTGTGGGGAGGGGAAGGGAGTTTGTAAGCCGCTCTGAGACTCTCTTGGGTAGTGAAGGGCGGGGTATAAATCCAGTCTCCTCCTCCTCCTCCTCCTCATTTTGACTTCATTTTTTTGGACTGGGAATCTATTTGTATAACAGCTGGAGTTCATGGCTGTCTGCTTGATGAAGCATCATCCCGGTGAAAACAATGGCACAAACGTTTTGTACGTGAACAGGCTCAACTTCGTCACCTCACTGTTTGTCTCTCCCTGTCCTGCAGGTATAGTCTGTATGCCCGCACCCGGCTGGGCTACCTGTTCTACAGGAGACAGATGAAGAAAGCACGGGAGCGTTATCCTCAAGGCCACTCTATCGCCCAGCCTCTGGTGTTCAGTGGTGAGTACCAGTACTCTTCATTGAATTTATGGGGCGTGTGTGTACGACACTGTCTAATTAGCTGACACTTTCCTTTGTTTAATCGTCAAGACAGAAGGTAATAACCTTCAAAGCCTTATACGGCCTGGGACCAACATACCTAAGGGATCGCCTCTTCCCATATACGCCTCAAGGAGCCTTACGCTCTAGTGAGCAACATCTCCTGGTGGTCCCTGGCCCAAAAGACGTCCGTCTAGCCTTGACCAGGGCCAGGGCTTTTTCTGCCATGGCCCTCCACCTGGTGGAACATGATCCCCAGTTTGGCCTCGTGGTTAAGTGCACAGACTCTAATCTGGGAGAACCAGGTTTGAATCCCCACGCCTCCACACGCAGCTGCTGGTGTGACCTTGGGTCAGTCACAAGCTCTGGCACAGCTGTCCTTGAAAAAGAGCAGTGTGTGTCAGAGTTCTCTCAGCCCCACCCACCTACCTCACAGGGAGGGGAAGGGAAAGGAGTTTGTAAGCCGCTCTGAGACTCCAATCTCCTCTTCTTCGTCTTGCAGGCCCTGCGGAACTGAGTAAGATCCCACATGGCCCTGATTCCTACATCCCTGGAGCAGTTCTTGCAAAACTCCAGTTTCTCACTGGTATTGCAGGGCTGAGACAGTGAATCCATCACTTGTGGTATTGTCTTCTAGGGCAGGGTGTCAATCATGTGGCCCGGGGGCCGGATCAGGCCCCCAGGAGTCTTCTATCAGGCCCGCAGTGGAACTGGCTGTCTTCTGCTGCTGCTTCTTCCAGTTCTGCTGCTGCCGTGTCATCGTAGGTTTGCAGCGTACAGATACATGCCTGAACAGCATACTCAGGATTGCAACAGCACAGACATTTGGTGCAATAACTCAGAGCAACAGGCGCCAGTTATCAGACACTGTTTAAATAAACAAAATATCGCAAGAGTGCTAATGTTTTAAGTATGTTTTTATTTTAAGTTAAAGAAAAAAACTTTTGCGTTTGTGTCCTTTATAAAGTTTATAGCTCCGCTACCTGGCATTACATTTTATGAAATGTTTATAATGGGTGGGATACAAATACGAAAAATAAATGATTGTGTGTGTGTGATGCAGAATCTGAACTCTGACGAGGCAAGTAGAACAAATTACACATACCGTCTGAATGAGTAGGGTTGGACTTTAGCATATTTAGGTTTCCCCTTCTGAACATGTGCAGCGTTCTCGATCTGTCTGTGGCCGAACTCTTGCAAGGGACATCACGAGTCGCGGCCTTTTGAAGTCTGACCTTTGACACGGGACGAACTGGCAGCAAGCTGCAATATGAGTGGATATTTGCAGTTTTTGCTCACCTCTTTTTGTGCCCTCGCTTGTGTTTGCACCTCGCTGCGGTGGCTCAAGTGGTTAAGACGCTGAACTGCAGACTGTGGAAGGTCGGTAGTTCAGCAGTTCGAGACCCGAGTGTGCCGCATGACGGAGTGAGCTCCCGTCTCTAGTGCCAGCTCCTGCCAACCTAGCAGTTCGAAAGCAAGAAATTGCAAGTAGATAAATAGGTACCGCTTCAGTGGGAAGGTAACAGCGTTCCGTGCGCCGGCCCCATGACCACGGAAACATCTTCGGACAGCGCTGGCTCTTCGGCTTTGAAACGGAGATGAGCACCGCAACCCTAGAGTTGGACTCGACTGGCTTTCGAGCAAGGGAGACCTTTACCTTTTACCTGTGACAAAAATGTCTTAAGTGAAACACTTAAGGGAGCTTATTTATCGACCTCTGCTTCCCCGATCCAAAGCATCACAAACATTTGCTGCTCTGAGTTTTTCCCTCTTGGTTTATTTGCTTAATTCTTGGCTTGGTTCATGTGCTATGTTTTTATTTATCTTAAGCTGGGATTTCATCAGTCTAAGAGCCTCTGTCTTATTCCCCGTCTTGTTTTCTACTCCCCCCCCCCGTCTTTAAAAACAAAACTTCATGCTCTATAGCCTCTTTACAGTCCTCCTATATAGAGGTGAAAGTGAGTGGGTAGTGAAAGTGAGAGCCGATTTGGCATAGTGGTTAAGTGCGCCGGACTCTAATCTGGGAGAACCGGGTTTGATTCCCCACTCCTCCACTCGCAGCTACTGGATGACCTTGGGCCAGCCATAGTTCTGTCAGAGCTGTCCTTGAAAAAGAGCACTTTCTGTCAAGAGCTCTCTCAGCCCCACCTACCTCACAGGGTGTCTGTTGTGGGGAGGGGAGGGGAAAGGAGCTTGTAAGACGCTCTGAGGGTGCGTTCAGACGGGGTATTTATGCCGGTATAGATGCCGGTTGGAATCGGTGTACTTACGGGCGATCACACGGCGAACATCTGCCTTCCGTCCCTAACCGTTGCAAACAGCCTTTAACCGTTGTATTCTGCTACTAGGTCTCCAAATGGTGGTATCCTGAGTGCACCGGTTCCAACCACAGCATCCCCGTGTGATTGGTCTCCGCCGGTGTAGAGCCACTTCCGTTCGGAAGCCCGAGGCTTCCGCTTTTCGGCCGCCATTTTTTTTTTTAGTATGCAATGTGTGCTTGGGCGAAGCTTCGCCACGTCTTCGCTTCAAGGCATGTTTTCCGGGTTCGGTTGTTCTGCGCCTGCGCAAAGATCTTCATTATAAGGAAGCCTGCCTATGCGCATGCGCAAACTGTATAAAAATAATTTTTAAAACCGCCGACGCGCTCTGCTGAGCGCCTGAAGTGTGGACGGGCATATCGCGATGTGCTGCACAGTCAGGAGGTAAGTGTGATCGCGTTTCTTCCGGATCAAACTGCTCCAGTTCCAACCGGGGCAGTTTATGCCGGCTAAAATGCCCTGTCTGAACGCACCCTGAGGCTCCTTTGAGTAGTGAAGGGCGGGGATATAAATCCAATCTCCTCCTCCTCCTCCTCCTCCTTCTTCTTACTTACATTAAGTTTGAGTCCTAGTTCTCACGGAGCTGGTAAGCTTGTGTCTGAGCAGGGCAGGGCAAGGGGTTGTCGCTGGGCACAGCTGACATGAGAGAGGGGTAGAAAAGGGTATAAAGCGTGGCTAAAAGACTCATCAGTCCAGTATTTAGAAAAACCTTTTTCTGCTCCCACTCCTCCGATGATTCCTA